CGTCACGGCCGTGGTAAGAAGCTGCGCAGTCCCCTTCCGCGCGAGCCGCTGTGTAACGCTGCTCACGACCGGCTCCACCCAGGGCGTCTCGGGTCGCCCGCATGTTGCCTGCCAGGTCAGAAGCAGCCTGATCCAGAGCTTCATATGTTCTAAAAGGTTCAGACCGGCTGTGATCTGAAACACTGTCCAAGATCTGGAGCAGTCTGTGGCACATGAACAGACACAACCGTTTAGGTCAGATGGAGCTAGGATTTATTTGATTCTTACAAGTCTTGTCTGTATTTTTATATTATTTATCCCTTAGCTGTATTTCCTAATTGTTAGATTCTTACTGTTAGCTACGGTTTGTTTGACACTGGCTGTTGGTGTGATTTACCTGCTGAAGGCTGCATCTTTGCAGCTAATGATAGGGTTTGGCCTGGGATTGATGGACAGATCAGGTTGTGCCAGGGACTCAAACCTCAGGTTTGCTGCTTCAGCTTCCTTTAACATTCTACTCTGTATTTCTGCCAGGTGCTCTCGACATGTCTTCCAGCGCCTGCTCTCCATTTCCTGAGCCAGAAGGAGCAGGTCGAAGGAGGCTTTCTGACGAAGGAGGTAGTCACGAACCTAGGAGCATTTAGTTTTATGACCAAAATGTCTTTGAGAGGACCAGTGGTGAAAGGGATATAATTCATACGTGCACATACTGTCATATTAGCGTGTACTAATATATTCTGTGTACCAACCTGGTCCTGTCTGGAGGTGTAGAAGTCTTGTCGGGCCAGTTGCAGAGCCAGGTCTCCTCTCACTACTGGCACATTAAGGAGCCTTGCTGACTCTCTAAGAGCAGCCACCACTGGTCCGTGAAGCAGAGCGAACAGCTCAGCCTCCACAGCCTGAAGCTCCTTCATGGACACGCCTTCTCGTACATGCAGCGAAGAGGAGGTGGAAATGCTCTTAAGGAGCACAGATATTGTTATAGTTTAGTTACTAAACCCAAACTGAGACTGTGAACAACACTGGATTATTTGTCTTACCTTGGTATGAGATGAGTGCTCTGAGAGCCAGTCCAGAGCAGCACTGACACTCTTCTCCTCTGCCAGTGCCTGCATCAGCTGGTGTTGTGTGACAATATGAGACCACTGAAGCCTGGCCATCTCTGTTCTCCTGCGTTCCAACACCTGCTTCTCTTCCTCTGTTCCTTTGTGGTCCTCCCTGACTTTCTCCTCTTCTTCCACTGCGTCTTCACAAATACTGAGGTCGAGCAGCTGCAAGCGTTCCGAGCAAGAAGTCTCAACAATGTCCGAGATGCCCTGGAAGAAAAGCCTCTGAGTATAAGCCGCTAGTGTCTTGGTGTTCAGCTGCTCCTGACGTAGATAGGAATCCAAGGAAAGCTGAGAAAGGACAACTGGAGAGGTTTTGAAGACACTTTTGGATGATTCCCCAGTAGCTTTCCTGGATGTTTCTGGCTGATCAGGAACAAATGAAGCAAATTTCTTGATTTCATCTTTGAGGTTTTCCAGCAGATTGTTGGTGTCAGCGTTCTGCGCTCCTACAGAAAAATTGGCTTCCTTCAGCTTACATCCAGCACTCTCCAGCTCTGCAGAGAGTCGTAAGTCCACATCTGCACGAGCAGTGGCCATGGCCTGCAGCTTGTTGAAACGTCGCTGCTTCAGCTCTTTTTCTTTACACAGTGCATGAAGCTCTGCCTCCAAGTCCTCGATGGCCACATCGCCCTCTGCTGCAAACACAGATGATGAGGCAGGTCCACTGCTTTCTTCCGAAGTGCTAACGGTCTTCAGGACCTGGCTCAGGGCTGCTTCATCCAAAATAGATTTGCCGGATTTTCGCAGCTCCTGAAAAGCCTTCACCTCCTCCGTGGTGACAGCGTTGCTCCGGTTTAGGGACTGACATACAAAGCGCAAAAAGTGACGATTCTCCGGGGCGCAGTCAAATAACCAGTCGAACTCTGAGGCCTTCAGGGATGATGCACCAGGATAACCCAGGCGGTCCAGGACCGCCACAAAGGAGCCACCGTCTAACATGGTGGATCAGCACCTTTTCAACCTTGTTATTGTAATAAATACATACAGGTTGTACAGATAGTTGAGTGAAAGTAGTCGTGAAAATGTTTGTTTGTCGTTTTGATCTTTTTAAATGAAAACTGAAAGTTCATTCCTATGATACAATTCATCACACTCTTTAGCTGCTCTTATTTTACCTTTTCTCGACTTTATCGATTGTGGCAATAAGTACTTGATTTGTAGTGTGTCAATTTTGTGCACACTTTCCTACAGTTACTATTCCTAAAGTCACAATTCTAAAAGGTATTTAAGTAATATATTTTTCAACTAAACATGGCGGATGGAGTATTTACAGTCGCCACAGCTGCTAGGTCGCATCTGATTAAGAGCTACAAATAGTAGCGAACTAATAAAAACTACATGTTTCATTAACATACGTTTTATTAACAACACAATCCGATACGGAAGATACTTTCATGAAAAAAATAGTAAACGTATTATATCAGTTTTTCTTACACTCACGGAATACAGTTTTTCCTTGCACCCCCGTCCGAGTTTGTTAGCGGTTTAGCTTTAGCCCGCCAAACATCCAAACGGTGTAGACGTCACTCGTCCGTAGCACGTTCTACGTTTACGTGTAACGTCAGATGCCGTCACACCTACAGCCAATCCGAATCGTACCCCATTCGGCTTTCTCTCTCTCACACTTTCTCTCTCTCTCTCACACTCTCCCTCTCCATTCCCCTCTTGTTTGGTTAACAGGACCTGAAAACCCGTTGCGGTGACTGCTGTCAGTGTTTGGGAACCAACGTCTGGTAAGTTCAGTGATTAACCGTAACGATAGTTAATCAAAATATGATGTTATTATGTAACTGTGGACGCATTTCCCCGACTGTTTTATATGGACATACAGGTTAAGCGCGTAACTCCAGTTCTCAGCCATGCGAACTCACAACCTCACTTCCACTAATAATAATACTTGTAATGACGTAGAAGAAAACGAGAAGATAGTTTTCTCCAGCAGCCGTAGTTTACAGGATCAATAGCACTGTTTGTTTTTTTTACATACAGTTTATAGTGTTCCACAGAGGCTTCATCCTCCAACCTCCAACCTGCACCATTCCTGCACATCGCCACAGTTGCTGATGGAGGGAGCTTGATTCTGTTAAGTTCTAATGTCATTTTGAGCTCGCTAACATTCACATTACTTTCTCGTCACTGTCAATGTTAGAAGAAACTTCAGCTGAAGGACGTTTGAGCCAATACCCAGTAATCATGGTCAAGGCTAAGACGTGGATCCTGTCCAAGTACTTCGACGGCTTCCCAAAGCCCAGCAACTTTGAGCTCAAGGTGGAGGAGGTTCCCGAGCCAAAGGATGGAGGTGAATGAAAAGTCCCATTTTGAATTACAATAGACGTGTGATTGTAACAGGCTCCATGGTCGATTACTGTTGACTGTATATTACTTTCATTGGTCCTGGACCAAAAAATAAACAGGAAGTTACGCTAAACAATGATGAAATTGAATAAATAAGCTATTCAAGATGAGCTAGAAGTCAATTGTATCGCAGCCTCATGTAAACATTTTAGGGGCTGTGGTGGCCTGGTGGTTAAGAAGCAGACATGTGTCCAGAAGGTCACAGGTTTGAATCTACCGTCCCCACAGACTGCTTTCCGAGCTGGAACTGCCCCTTCTCACTAAAGTAATGAGTTTAAGGCAGAGGTCACATTTCATTGTATGCAGTGGTGTGCTGTGTAACTCTACTGCATGAAATAACTTTCACTTTAGTGTTACTAAGTATGTCTACGTATATGTTATTACAAATATTAACAATAATAATGGTCAGTAAAATCCAATTTAGAATATAGGAAATGTTTCACCAGTCGACTAAAGATAAATGAACACCGGTCTATTGACTAAACTGGGACTAAGTTACTATTTAGTCAAAAGACTAAATCCAAGACTAACACTAATATTCACCAAACAGACATTAAATAAAATAATTTAATCCTGAACCAATGGAGAACTTTGCTCTTTATTCAGTAATAGATGGATGTAAATGTAGGACCGTTTTATCATTCACTTCTGTTATATCTGTACAGTAAATAGCTCACTGTCATCTTCCCTCTTCAGAGCTGATATTAGAGGCAGTGTTTCTGAGTGTGGACCCGTACATGAGGTTTGTAAACATCAGCATTAAAGAGAAACATTTTAAAGTCTTAAAAAATAAATTTGTCCTGCATGCTTTGAACATAAGAGCCTTGTTTCCTCTCCTAAGGCCCTTCAGTAAGTTTCGTTTGAAGGAAGGTGAAGTGATGATCGGGACTCAAGTGGCCAAGTAAGAACCTGCATGTTTAGACACGTGTTCTGCAGTGGGACAGAACAGCAGCTGCTGGTCATTACTGCAGACTTTGACTCATGTCAGAGAAATGTTTCTGGCTCTGAGTTCAGACGCTGCCTCTGTTGTCGTTGTTGATCAACACATGGAATAAATGACTCTACTTCAAAAACCTCATTTTCAATCCTGCATGTTGTTTTTCCTTCACTTTGTTCTTAATCGCAGCCTGTGAAGCAACCGAAAGCAGAACCGGCTGTCGTGGCAACCTGGACTCAACGATTCGTGATTAGTGACTCTCTTTTTCTCTGTTGTTTTTTTTTTTGGTCGTCCTTAGGGTGGTCCAAAGTAAAAACCCAGCATTTCCTGTGGGGAGTCACGTTGTTGGCCGTGGTGGTTGGAGGAGTCACTCACTGAGTGACGGATCAGACCTGGTTCCCATCATGGCCGACTGGCCTCAGGGCGTCTCCATGTCACTGGCTCTGGGAACCATCGGCATGCCCGGGTGAGAGGAGTGAAGTCAGTAGAAGCACAGATTCAGATTCAGGTACATTAGGCAGCAGCAGCAGCAGCAGCTAACGGTGCTGGGGCTCTGGGTCTGACCTCACCAGTGGAACCACTGACTCTGAGTGAGAATCCAGTGAACTTTTCCTCATTGGAAGTCTTTCTAGTTTCTAGCATCTCACGTTGTTGGGTTTGAGCCCCACGTAGTTTTCTGGGACTCGGTAATAATCTCACGTTGTTGGGTTTGAGCCCCACGTGGATGTGTAATTGTTATGGACAACTTTGTTATGGCAGAGATCAGCAGGAGTTGATGTTCCAAGTCTGGCGTAGATCATGTCCACCTGGTGCTCTGCAGCTTCCACATCAACATTTTCACTCCCTCCTCCCTCCAGACTCACGGCGCTGTACGGGATCGAGGAGGTCCTGGCACTGAAGGAGGGTGAGACCCTGCTGGTGAACGCTGCGGCTGGAGCTGTAGGCTCTGTGGTGGGCCAGATCGCTAAGATCAAGGGCTGTAAGGTGGTGGGCTCAGCAGGCTCTGATGAGAAGGTAGCCTTCCTTAAGGAGCTGGGCTTCGACGAGGCCTTCAACTACAAGACGGTTGGTTCCCTGGAGGAGACGCTGAAGAGGGCCTCTCCAGACGGTTATGACTGCTACTTTGACAACGTAGGCAGTGTTTTTATCTGGATCAATGAGTGGAGTTAGAGTATGTGCAGCTGACAGGACTGCTCTGGTTCCAGGTGGGAGGACAGTTCTCAGACGTAGCCCTGCAGCAGATGAAGCATTTTGGAAGAATAGCTGTGTGTGGAAGTATCTCTGTGTACAACGACACCACTCCACAGACAGGTGGGCTCTATCCTCACTATCATTTCTAAGTTATAATCCTGATAAAAAAACACACAGCAATACTTTGTTTTTATGTTGTAACAATTGTTGTCTAACTGTTGTCACAAAAACAAAACAAACAGAAGTGCTTGAACTTGTCTGTTTAAAGTTCAGAACTTGAACATTTGAACGTTGGAAACAGATGACAGTAAATTAGCAGCGGTTTCGTTGCTCAAGTAAAGAATAAATGATAATCATTTAAAGACATTAAAATAGCTCCGAAAGTGTTTAAACAAAAAAACACTACATACAAAGAGAGGAAATCGGTGCGTTCCTGTTTATGTGCATTATCTCTTCTGGCCACAAGAGGGCAATGTCGTACAGGGGGGCCAAAACACGTGACTGGTGTCTGGTTCCACCATTGTTTCAAAGATTTTTCTGTAGTAGATTTTTAATCTGTTATTTGTCTTGCAGGGCCGTACCAACAGTTGACTATTATCATGAAGGAGCTGAAGATGGAAGGCTTCATGCAGTCCCGCTGGGGAAACAAACACCCTGAGTCACTTAGGAGACTGATGGGATGGGTGAAGGAGGTGAGAGTGGTGTTACTTTAGTTCACCTGAAATGGTGTTTGCTGTTCTGTTGTAATGTTAGAGTCTGATATGTTTCTGCTCTGCAGGGCAAACTGCTCAGTCGTGAACACATCACCAGGGGCATTGAGAACATGCCGGCTGCTTTCATGGGAATGTTTCGAGGAGAGAACATCGGCAAAGCCATCGTGGCTGTGTGATGATGAAACCTGGATAAAGCGGTTCCCGGCGTGGATGTGTAATTGTTATGGACAACTTTGTTATGGCAGAGATCAGCAGGAGTTGATGTTCCAAGTCTGGCGTAGATCATGTCCACCTGGTGCTCTGCAGCTTCCACATCAACATTTTCACTCCCTCCTCCCTCCAGACTCACGGCGCTGTACGGGATCGAGGAGGTCCTGGCACTGAAGGAGGGTGAGACCCTGCTGGTGAACGCTGCGGCTGGAGCTGTAGGCTCTGTGGTGGGCCAGATCGCTAAGATCAAGGGCTGTAAGGTGGTGGGCTCAGCAGGCTCTGATGAGAAGGTAGCCTTCCTTAAGGAGCTGGGCTTCGACGAGGCCTTCAACTACAAGACGGTTGGTTCCCTGGAGGAGACGCTGAAGAGGGCCTCTCCAGACGGTTATGACTGCTACTTTGACAACGTAGGCAGTGTTTTTATCTGGATCAATGAGTGGAGTTAGAGTATGTGCAGCTGACAGGACTGCTCTGGTTCCAGGTGGGAGGACAGTTCTCAGACGTAGCCCTGCAGCAGATGAAGCATTTTGGAAGAATAGCTGTGTGTGGAAGTATCTCTGTGTACAACGACACCACTCCACAGACAGGTGGGCTCTATCCTCACTATCATTTCTAAGTTATAATCCTGATAAAAAAACACACAGCAATACTTTGTTTTTATGTCGTAACAATTGTTGTCTAACTGTTGTCACAAAAACAAAACAAACAGAAGTGCTTGAACTTGTCTGTTTAAAGTTCAGAACTTGAACATTTGAACGTTGGAAACAGATGACAGTAAATTAGCAGCGGTTTCGTTGCTCAAGTAAAGAATAAATGATAATCATTTAAAGACATTAAAATAGCTCCGAAAGTGTTTAAACAAAAAAACACTACATACAAAGAGGAAATCGGTGCGTTCCTGTTTATGTGCATTATCTCTTCTGGCCACAAGAGGGCAATGTCGTACAGGGGGGCCAAAACACGTGACTGGTGTCTGGTTCCACCATTGTTTCAAAGATTTTTCTGTAGTAGATTTTTAATCTGTTATTTGTCTTGCAGGGCCGTACCAACAGTTGACTATTATCATGAAGGAGCTGAAGATGGAAGGCTTCATGCAGTCCCGCTGGGGAAACAAACACCCTGAGTCACTTAGGAGACTGATGGGATGGGTGAAGGAGGTGAGAGTGGTGTTACTTTAGTTCACCTGAAATGGTGTTTGCTGTTCTGTTGTAATGTTAGAGTCTGATATGTTTCTGCTCTGCAGGGCAAACTGCTCAGTCGTGAACACATCACCAGGGGCATTGAGAACATGCCGGCTGCTTTCATGGGAATGTTTCGAGGAGAGAACATCGGCAAAGCCATCGTGGCTGTGTGATGATGAAACCTGGATAAAGCGGTTCCCGGAACATGAAGGAAAACCAACAGAATATTTTCATAGCAGCATGTTTAAGAATTTGTATTACTCGTTTGTAGCCTCATAAAAATGAACACATTTTGCATATTGGGTATTCTAGGACGTTTTTTTATTTTCTGAATTCAAAATGTATTCACAATAATAGACCTAGTTTTACTACATTACATTGAAAACAGGATTAAAATAAAAGTTTTGCTTTAAATTTGAGATTTTACTGCAAAGCATATACAATAGCTTAACATTTCATTTAAAAAAATTACATTTGTAAAATGCTTAAAAAAATTAAAAAGAAAAGTATTTTTGCACCAGAGGTAGCTAAATGTAGTGCAGCAAATTGCAGTGCTTGCAGTACTTGCTAGAAGTTAACCCAGAAGCAAGTAATTAGCTTAGATTTTGAAAGGGTCATGCAAAACATGGGAAAGTTGCAAAGAATCTACCACCTTATTTTAGCCAAGACAACCTGGACAGTTCACCAGTCCACAGCTTAAACCAAGCAAAAAAAAAAAAACAATAATAAAAAAGAGTTAATCAAAAATAAACTAGGACGCACGGTGGTCCAGAAATACATGATAAAAAAAAAAAAATCAAAATCTGGTATATTGTAGTCCAAAGATTCATAGTTTGGTCAAAATCTGGTGTATTGTAGTCCAAAGATTCATAGTTTGGCTTTACAATGTCAAGATGAACTCAAAAACAAGAAAAATAGCAAAACATTGTTAACAATATGGACAAATTTGCCTCACTAAATAATAACCATACATAGAAAGGTGATTTCTTTTTAACCAAACTACTTCAAAATGTCCTGAAAATACACAATTAAAAACAACCTTTTCAGACCTTGACTTCAATCAGTTCAGGCTGATGAGCATCTGCTGATAATTTATGCGCATCCCACCTGATGAGAAGTGAAGCCCATTGAAAATGAGGGACCTTTGTTGTTGGACAGTAATTGGTGAAGTGTAGTAACCACGTCTCCTGCTGCCATGCTCAACCTTTTTCATCAGGAAATTGGTTATTTTCAGCCCCTCATTTGAATTTCATGAGGCCCAGAGAGCTTTCGCTCCATGGTGACACAGGACACTTCATGTCCACTGCTGTAGGTAATTATAGTGCTGTTGTGTAGCCTTTTGATTAACACACTTTTAGTTAACTTATAGGAATAGGTGGTGGTGATGATAATGATTATGAAGAAGGAGCAGCAGAGTCTGATATAAACCCAGGGTTTAGCTGAACAATCCGATAAACTTGTCAAATAACCTTTTAAAATCTGTTAACTAAGACCGTCATCTCACATAGTTGTTCTATGTCTAATGTTTGTTTAGTAATACAATCAGACAACAAGGCATGCATTTTGAGCCATAAGAATAACAGCTGAAGGCGAGCCAAAAAAAGTAGGCCTTGCATAAATGTTAGCCAAAACACTTGAAAATCACCCTGTAATGATGAATGGAGTGCTGCTTAAACATTAATAGATGGAAAGAAACACATTTTAGTAAATCAAATATTTTTGAGTTTGTGACAAGTAAGTCACATAAATCTTTAAAACGCTGAATCTCTGGTTGTTGAAATATAGATATTTATAATATATTTTACTGAATGTGATATACTGATTAAATATCTATAGGGGGCGCTGTCGTTCAGTAAATTTGAGCTGCGATGACTCAGTTTACCGTAAGACGGAATTTGTTGAGTCACTGTGACACGAAATACTATTCAATTTCGACACTGTTCAATCAGAAATGATCATTTAATTGTAAATACATCGAGAACCGTGTGTAAATATAAAACAAAAATCAAGAACGCGCGTTGAAAAAATCTATAACGTGGATTGCCCTTTGGAAAATGTTTCACGTTCTTTTTTATGCATAAAACATAAAAATCTAAAATGTGACGTCTGAGCGAATTTTCAAAATAAAAGTCAGCAGTGGGAAACATAACTGTAAGCTGAGGACTACGGAGCCGTTTATGGTGAAAGTCAGACAGTAATTTCCGCTGTCAGAGTTCGCTGATGTAGCTTGACTGAAAGGACATTATAATACAGCGTGTCGCATTCTAAGAAGACATTCTACTACGTTGTTTCTGTTGGAAGCACGAGATTTCATCCACCGTCACGATGGTTTACGAAGTGAAAGATTACGTAAGTTGTTGTTACTCTGGATATTTTTGATTCTCGCGTTGAAGAGCCGCCATTTTGACGATATATAGCATTTTTGCCGTTTTCCCCATTGATCGGTGACTCCCGCGCTTCCTCCCACTCTCGTTGCCTCCACTGCAATGTTGAGGGAGCGCGACACACTTCTTTACTTTACGCCATGAAGCTAACGATTGTAGCGAATGGCCCATATCATTGTGTAATGTCAGTTAGAATACGGTACATGATTGTGTGTGGGCGCGCGTGCGCGAACACAACGCCAAAGTTAGATTAACATTAGTCGGGAGAGACTTTATTCTCCATCGTTTCCGTAGTTCTAAAAAAAATACATCAACTGGCCACTGTCGCACCCCTACATTCCTTTTTACACTTATGTAAGTTTATGCATAGTTTCCAGTACTTCTTTCGCATTGAATAGTTAAAAAGCATATGCTCACATCGTTGTATTTGTATGAAAGATTTGATTTAGCACAGACAGGATTTTAGCATAAATAGGACAATATTGCGTCATTAGAAAGTAAACTTCGGTCACTAACATCGAATCCGAAACAATCTTCCTATTTCTGTCACCATGTGTATGACTGGACTGACGCTATTTTCTCACTAGTTGATATACGGTTATGTATATTGCTACTGTGACTAACAAGCTCACGAGTCGTCCGTACTGACGAGGGCGGGGAACTGCGGTGAAGGGGTTTTAACTGACGCCTAACAACGAGCATGCGAAACAGAGGATTTCCTAACATCCGGGAGTTTCCTGGTGTGTGTGAAAATGGTGGCTGTCAGTTTATCGGTGTGTGAGACCTAGCAAGTACAAGAATGAATATATTATGTATAAACTGAAGTACTGTGTGTTTACCACCACAATTTAAACACTTGTATACGAAAAGCACTTTACCCCCCGTCCCCTCCGCCCCCCAGCAGAGAGCGCTAAGGCTTGAAAAGCTCTTGTCTATGAGTGAAGTTGTCCTTCAGTATAATTTTAATCGTACCGTAAACCTTGTCCACGTGTCAATCTAAAAAAGCTACCGTTCAGGACCAGCGATTGGCTAATTGCTTTGGGAAAACTAACGGTATATGAACGGTCTGAAACTAACTTCTGTGGCCATGTCAGAACTCTATGTTGTATGTTGTTTTAAAGAGGTTCTATATGATGTAAATGCAAAATGGTCCTGGAAAAGTCTGAAATTACTAATTAGACATTAAAGTGTTTGAAAGTTGCCCTGGGAAGCCCTGTTTTGCTTTTTGTTCTTTGATTTAGCAATTGCATCACAGTCAATGAACAATCTTTAAGAGTTTTTTGTTTGTTTTTGTTTTTAAGAATGACTTCACTCAGCAGCTGAAGAGAGCTGGAAACAAACTGGTGGTGGTGGACTTCACAGCGACATGGTGCCAACCCTGCAAAAACATATCTCCCGTGTTTGAAGTGAGTATTTGCTTTTTTGGCAGTGATTTTTGGCAGGATTGGCAGTGATTCACAGAATAACAGGAAACTGTTGGAGTCGCATGTTTCTTTAATATTCTGATATTCTCTCTGCTAGGAACTGGCAAATCAGTATAAGAACGTGGTTTTCCTGAAGGTGGATGTAGATGAGGCTGACGTAAGTCCAAAAATTTGCACCATCAACCTTTTCCAGCAAACATTTTACCTTGTGACTAATGTCTTCCAGAACTTGTGGCCAAATGTTTTGTGTGGTTTGGATACATGGAGCTAACTTCTATTTTGACTGTTTTTGCTATTATTACTATTTTATTCCTACACATATTACACTAACTTGTGGTTTTCCCTCTTCACCAACTTTTACCCCGATGTAGACTTGAACTCTGAGACTGTTGCTTTATATTTAGCCAGCTGATGCTATAGTTGGCTAAATATAAAGCATGAGTGTTAATTACATACATTATTGTTATCGCAACCTTATAAGCTCTTCTCGGCCAACAGTTAGCTTAATTTACCAACTACCAAGTTAGTTGTACACACTTTCAGTCAGGATAAAAAAAATGAAGTGACCAAAACAGAGATTTGTCTGCAGTGTTTTGCTCTAGTTTTGATAAAGGTTTTTAACTCTGTTCTGGAAATTGAGAGGTTAACCTCAGAAATGTCTTTATATTTCCCCCCATGTCTCTGCTAATTTAGATGCTTTATTGAAATATTGAATGGATATTAAATAATATAAATATTAATTAAAATATGTATAATATGTTCATTATTCAACTCTTGTTTTGCAGGACGTCAGTACAGAATGTGAAATCAACTGCATGCCCACATTCCTCTTTTATAGGAACGAAAAGCGGGTAAGGTTTGATTATTGTCCAGATTCTATAGCCCAGACGAAGATGGTCTTTGACTTGATAAACTTACATCCTGAAATAACCTCTGTTGTCCTCTAGGTGCACTCCTTTTCAGGTGCAAACTCGGACACACTGAGGGCTGCAGTGAAGCAGTATGAAAAAGAATAAATCCCCAAATGGGTCCACGTTCTACAGCAAACCTGTTAGTCTCTGTCCATAACTCATCTAGTCTTTCATTATGACATACGTCCTGAGTCCATGTCAGTGCAGACTGGTTATCAACATCATGTAATCATCAACTTTTAACTCAAAAGACAAGGTGGAATGAAATAAAATAAAGGAAAACCTTACATGCAGTCTGTGGTGTCTTCATTCACGTCAGTTCTGGAGAAACGGCATTGAATGAATTAGAAATAAAGGAGTTTAGATTAGATTTGAAGACAAGGGATGGAGTGAGTCCAGTGTGGGAACATCATGGTACAAAAAGTTGACTTGCTGAAAAATTAGGCAGGATTTAGCTTATATAGATACATATTTAACATAATGAAGGTAACTTTAAGAAGGTAAATTTTGTTAATATGGAATTTGATTAAAAAAAAGCGACATGTAGTGTTTATTCATGGTATTTTATGCTTTAATAAAAATGTGAGAATAGTTTACACATATACATCAGACAAATGGCATCAACAGTTTCTACACATCGTACACGTTTCTATAGCAGCATATGTTTAATACTGTGGAGTCTCTATATGAAAAAATACAGCTTTATTTTACAGAAAATGCTTGTTTTCCCTTTTGTTCTGTGGTACTTTTTGCAGAGATGAGAAACACAGATGTGTCATTGAAATATACAAGAAGAGTTCCCTACCCTGAACCATTCACATGGAGCTGCGTGGAGGACTAGAAGTGATAATATCCTGATCTTCTTTTCCTGAAAACACAGAGAGGACAATGTCATGGATTAGGCAGGGTTTTGGAAATCCTTGAATGTGCTTGATGAAGTCATGTTCAGGTCACTGTGATGTAGGTGACAGGACCAGAGTGTGGGTGTCGTTTGAGTTCACCTGGAGCAGTCGTGTCCGCTCCATCCTGAACTGCAGTGACACCTGTTTGGTCGGATGCATCTGCCTCCGTTGAGACACGGAGATGAACACACAGCTGCAGATCACACACAGGGTTGATCATCACAATCATTGGAACCACAGGGAATAAATCTGTTGGCTCAAGTGTTATTTAAAAAATGATGTCATGTCAACTAGGCCACTGTGAGTGTATAGTGGTGTTCTGCTCTCTGCTGCTCACAGAATGTTGATCATAAATTACACTTTCAGATTTTTGAGCCGACAACTAAGACTCCTCATCTGCAGCTGCTTCATTTCCCAAGTTCATGTCCAGTAATTAAATTTGATTAATAAAATCCTTGGTTTTTTCTGTGGACTTTGGTGTAAGAAGGTGAGCAGTTCACCGACAGACACACCATCTCCTCCACAAACTCAACAGGTCCCTGAGGACTGTGATTTATTTATAGAAAAAGCAGCTGTAGTTGTTTATAATTGGGGTAAAAATTGTTGTCAGTTTCATGAGTCAGGGTGACCATGGCAACGGTGCTGACATGACAGGAATCCTCTTAAGTCTTAGCCCGCCTCAGCATGTGAACGCATCACTGTGTCAAGCAGGAAACTCACCACTGTGACAGCGTGTGCCCGTCCACCCACTGGGACACTGACACTGGTAGGGGGCCACGCAGCGGCCGCCGTTCAGACAGGGCAGGATACAGATGGCTGGAATTAGACAGGAGACTCAGGAAGTCAAATAATGAGTTGTTGTTGTCAAACATTGGCACCACACAGTCTACATGTCGGAACAGTCTACACGTCAACACCACACAGTCTACATGACGGAACAGTCTACACGTCAACACCACACAGTCTACAAGTCGGAACAGTCTACATGTCAACACCACATAGTCTACATGTCGGAACAGTCTACACGTCAACACCACACAGTCTACATGACGGAACAGTCTACACGTCAACACCACACAGTCTACACGTCGGAACAGTCTAAACGTCAACACCACACAGTCTACACGTCGGAACAGTCTCCACGTCGGAACAGTCTACACGTCGGAACAGTCTACACGTCAACACCACACAGTCTACAAGTCGGAACAGTCTACATGTCAACACCACACAGTCTACATGGCGGAACAGTCTACATGTCAACACCACACAGTCTACATGGCGGAACAGTCTACATGTCAACACCACATAGTCTACATGTCGGAACAGGCTACACGTCAACACCACACAGTCTACACGTCGGAACAGTCTAAACGTCAACACCACACAGTCTACATGGCGGAACAGTCTACATGTCAACACCACACAGTCTACATGACGGAACAGTCTACACGTCGGAACAGTCTCCACGTCGGAACAGTCTACACGTCAACACCACACAGTCTACAAGTCGGAACAGTCTACATGTCAACACCACATAGTCTACATGTCGGAACAGGCTACACGTCAACACCACACAGTCTACACGTCGGAACAGTCTCCACGTCGGAACAGTCTACACGTCGGAACAGTCTCCACGTCGGAACAGTCTACACGTCAACACCACACAGTCTACATGGCGGAACAGTCTACACGTCAACACCACACAGTCTACATGGCGGAACAGTCTACACGTCAACACCACACAGTCTACATGACGGAACAGTCTACGCGTCGTAACGGTCTACATGTCAACACTGTGGTGCTGACATGTAGACTGTGTGGTGTAGACTTTGAGACTGTGATATGAGACTAAACTAAGATAAGAAAAGTATTTGAGTATCTGTGGTGTTTCATCAGTCTCTCAGTCAAATATGTGTGACCTTTGACTGAGTAAATCAGAACATCAGTGGTTGGACTTCCTGGGATCTTATCTGCTGATTTGACGGTTTGTTGACATCACATTGTTAAGGTGATTGGTGGGTGTTCAGTGTGAACATAGTGTCATAGGTCAGGGGTTATTATACGTACGCTCCTCACAAAGTCGGCCCATCCAACCCTCTGGACAGGAACAGATGTTGGGTCGCTGACAGACACCACCGTTCTGACACTGCAGCCAACATACAGCTGAGGAAGATGGACACACACACACACACACACAATTAGTGTGATGTCCAGGTCAATGAATTATTGGACAACAGTTATATTTAAATGGAACAATGTGGGTCACACCATGAGGTCACAGAGTGATACCATAGGGCAGTGATTTTCAAAGTTATCACTAATCGCCCCTAGAGGATGGAGATTAGAACACCAGTGAGTTGGAAACCAGAAAAATAAAGTCTGTAGCAGGACAACACGTGAACAAGTAAGCACTGATGACAGATTAGTTCCAGGTACAGTGAGAGGGAGAACGACTCTAGTACTGCAGTATGACAATGGTTATTTGAGTTTGGATTTTCATGGACTCATGTTTGACATTCAGTTTTGTCCACAACAGCTGGTGCACCAAGAGCAATGACAGTAACCACCACCGGGAGCGCCGCAGCCTCAACAACCACACAGTTATTATTGTATTATTTTATGTGCTGTCCAAACTCTGTGTCATCCCACACTAATGTGTTATTTTTGGTTTTCATTCTGACACATTTGAATTTTTCGGCCTGTTTGCATCACATCAAAATCCATCCATTCATTCATTCACACCTCACACTTTGAAAAGAACTGCTCCAGTTCAACCAAGTTAATTTGCATTTCATTTTCTGTTTCTGTCAGGTGGCTTGACTCTCCTGCTAGTTCTTTGTGGTAGCAGTAGTGAGTTTAGAAGTATGTTACTGCGACTGTGCATCCTATAAGGCCTTAGAACCTCTCAGGTGTGTGAGTGACAGATGAAGACATGCAGAGACAGAGACAGAGGAAGGTCTGAGGAGACGGTTTTACAGAAAAGTTAAGTTCCTCCTCAGAGCAGATGATCTGCTGAAGATAATAAGTAAAGATTCCAGAACAGTATTAGAAACAGCAGCATGGCGTCAGTTGAAGCAGTAAGTGAACTGGAAAAGAGGGCGGAGTCTCCACTGTTGGGTCTCTCTACCTCTGCACGCAGGAGGCGGCGTCCAGGTGCCGTTCTCCAGACACCTGCTCCTCCCAACGCCCTCCATGGTGTAGCCGGCAAAACACGAGTACGCTGCCACATCCCCGAACTGGAACACCGCCCCCCGCACCACCCCATTGGTCACATGGAGGGGGGGGCCGCAGGACACCCCTGCACAACAGCCCAGATGGAACCACCCAGATACGAGTTACTACAACTGCTCCATAACCTTTTTTGAATATCTGTAAAAAACTGCTGCCGGTCTGAAGCACATTTCTGTTTTTAGACTCACAACATGGATCTAAGAGTGAGAAGATAACAGTGTCAGAATTAAAGCAAAGCAGCAAAGCTCACAGGGAGACGAACAAAAAAAGAATCATAGCTTAGACTAGGACGCTGAACAGCAGTGTAGAGCTAGGATAAACTGTCCAACATGTCAAGAAAAGTTTCTTCTTCTTCCTATTCATCAAATCATTTCAAGTTTTGTTAATTCTAAAGGACAGAGCTGAGAAAAAAATCTGAAAATCAAAAGTAACCATGTATGTTTTAGGAAACACCTTATTTTTGTATTATAGTTCACTAAATAATAATAATAAAAACATTTGATCCATTCATTCCAAGTAAACAGAGTTTAAATCTTATTTTATAAGGGGAAGATATTGAATAATTTTTTAGTGAACGTCCATAAGAGCTGGTTTACTCCCTGTATTCACTCACAAATATACAAGAAACAAACAAGACAAATAAATCCATGTTTCTTCCTTTTATCCCAGAAGCCCATGCAACATGGCCACATGTGACATACAATCGGCTGTTCTGTACGGAACGTGGTTGAGTGAGGGGGGGGAGACAACTCCCAGAGTCTGAGTGAGGCATGCAGACAGGAGAATAACACTGGTGCCAGAACAAACAGTCAGCCATAGCAACGTGAGCAGCTTTTTGTTGTGTTCATTCACAAACATGAAAGATGAGAGGTTGGTCTGACAAAGGTTGCCATAGGAGCAGCAGAGGTGAGGAGGTGAGGAGGTGAGGAGGTGAGGAGTACCCGTGCACGTAAACTGTGTGTGTGTTTGATGTTGTTAATGAGAGCAGACAGAGACCACAGGCAGGTTGACAGGTGTGGTCAACAGACATGAAATATCGAATCCTGTTGTTTGGACTATCATTATCTCAGGTGTGGACAACAGACATGAAATATCGACTCCTGTTGTTTGGACTATCATTATCTCATCTAGGAAACACTCATTTCTGCACAGAAAATGTCCTGATTATTTTTATATGAACACATGAAACAATACATATAAGGTGAAATGAGACAGTACGTCTGTGTGGTTGTAGCCTCTAAATGTATCCAAACCTACTTTCACACACAGAACTGATGGGACTCCAGCTCTGGTCTGGTCTGCAGGCGATGGTCCCGCTGCCTTTCACCTGTTGACCTTTGGGGCAGGTGACACGGACAGACTGCCCCACATGGAACTCCTTCTGCGGTCTGTCACCATCACTGTCCTCCCTCCAGCCTGGTGGTGCTGGACAGGACTTGGCTGCAGTGGACAGAAATGGTGGATGAACTCAAGTCAGTGATTCACAGGTTTGACTGTCTTTACTGGCAACTGATCATAGTCCAGTGGACTGCTGTGATTCATAGTGAATGTACAGTAGTTGGAAGTCAGTGACCAGCTGTTACAGTCACTAGAAAAGTGAGTGTGTGTGTGTGTGTGTGTGTGTGTAAACATGTCCTTGTGGGGACATTTGTTTGGTCAAATGTTTTGTCGTTGTTAAGACAGTTTCAGACTAGGACACAGAGTATTTAGAGTTTAAGATGTAGGATTATCTTAGGTGTACATATTCAACTGTGTATATGTATGTATGTACTGTATGTGTGTGCACGTGTGTGTGATGTGTTTGTTTTAGCTGTAAACTTCTGTGTCTGTCTCTGTGACCTACTCAAACAGACCTACTCAAAGAACTATGGACTATGGACCGTGAACCATGGACTACGGACTATGGACTTTGTCTCTGTTTGCTATCTAGGTCTGAAGAACTCACGTTGACAGGTGGGGAAGGTGGAGCTCCAGGTGTTTCCTCCCATACACACCACCAAAGGATCTCCCACCAGTCTGTAGCCTTTATCACACTCAAACTCTACAGCACGCCCAGTGTTCAAGTTGTGCTCCTGCACTTTGCCATTGAGTATCTGTTTGGGGCTTACACAGCCTCTAGCTGCTGGAAGTAAAGCACAGAGGTCAAATATCTGACTGATGTCAAGTGTCTAACTTTTAAAGTTTTAAGTGCTCTACCTTTACATGTTGGAGCTGGAAGGCTCCAGGTGCCGTTAGGGAGACAGGTAAGTGTCTTGGGGCCGACCAGCTGCAGCCCGTCATTACACATGTATGTGGCATTGTTTGACTCTTGTCTAATTTGTACGTCGGCATTCTCTACAATGGGTGGAGGTCCACAGGACTGGACTACAGACAGCACAGACAAGAATGTTGAGTGTTTGCAGCTTTAATATACAAATGTCTGTTGAGCTCCTGGGTAATTCATATGCTCTTCTATACAGTACCTTCATGACTAACACATTCTAGAGGCTAAAGGCAGAGGCATGTGTCACGACAACTGCAGTTTGTGTCTGTGAACATAAACCTACCTACACACAGTGGCTGGGTGCCACTCCATGTTCTGTCTCCCTGACAGGTCTGGACTGAGTCTCCCTGTCACAAAGTGAACGGGACAGAAAAGGAAGAAAAGAACATCAGTCCAACAGGGTTTAGTCTGCTGTGAATGAAGAAACTTGTTGATACTGTGTGAGTCTATGGACTGTGACTCCAAAGTGTGTTAAGAAGCGGGGGAGAGAGAGCAGCAGCTCAGCAGCAGAGTGACTCAGCTCCTCCCTAACAGCACATTTATTCCTGAAATCATGTGACTTTCTGAGGTCTGACTGTAAGAATTACTCACACCCTGGAGTCTCACAGCACTATGAGGCTTTGTTTTATTCTCTTTGATATTTGTATCACACCTTGTAAATCCTATGTTTACCTTCTTGTTACTTTTTAATCACCCTGTAAATCCTATGTCCACCCTGCTGTTTTACTTTTACTACTACATGTCTATCCTACTGCTGTAACAACTGAATTACCACAGTGTGGGATGAATGAAGTCTTATCTTATTAAATCTGTACTCTCTACAGGTCCTGTCATAGAAATTAATTTCCTTAGAAATGCCACCAGGCTTTTTATTACCTTCAGGTAAAAGCCAGGCAGACAGGAGTACATGACAAAGTCCCCGTAGTTGTAACTGTCTCCCTCAGTGACTCCGTTAAGAAGAGGAGGGGGGTTTCCACAGAACACCAGTTCACAGGAAACAGTCTGGAGACTTGGAGTCCAGCCTCCACCCAGCTTCTCGCATACAATAAAAGACCATCAAGAAAACAGAGATTATTCAGGTATTGTTTTGAACAACAACAGCAGAAAAGTGTGTCCTACCTGACATTCAGCCAGTGCTGACCCCTGCAGGTAGAGCCCAGGAGGGCAGGAGAGGGCGATGGTGCCTCCCACAGGCGTGAGATCTTTGCCAGTGATAATCAGATGTGGGATGGTGAAGTTCGTGGGCAGTGGGCAGGGGTTGGGACGGCATTTGATGCTCTGTGTGGACCATGAGCCGTCACTCTGGCAGGATAGTGAAGCCGTCAGTGAGGCTAGTTCATAGCCATCATCACACCTGGAGAAAAATGTGTCCAAGAAAAAACAACATGAAGTGACCAGGGAAGTGCTGACTGGGCCTGAGTCCATGAGTCTCGTGAATGTTAGTAGGAGATGTGACTGTAGAACACTGCTCTGGTCCAGGTTAAAAACACCCCTCACGTCAGATGTTTAAAAGCCCTTCTTTGCGATTGATTTTGTTACAATTCTTTGTTTAATTTGTTTAGTTTAACGAGTCTTCTGTTTGGATGTGTGTCTGTTCTGGTGCTCAGGCCCTAATGATACAGTAATGTAGCACAGTAATAATGGGAGTGTTTACCTGTATGTGATTTGGTTTGGGAAGGTGAAGTTGTCTCCCACCACCTGAGCGTGGGCTACAGGTGGAGGTTTTCCACAGCTGATGGGCTCACAGCTGATCCTGGGTTCCCCCCACCTGCCATCCCTTCCACAGGAGAGGTGTGGGTATCCCTTACCCTGGAAGCCTGGCCGACACCTGTATATCACTGTGTCTGAGAAAGTGGTACTGCCGCCCTGCAGGACAGCGTTGGGAACTGCAGGCGGGGCGACACTACACCTTCCTCGGCCACAAACAGGCACCCCTGGACTCCACACCCCTCCTTTCTCACACACCGCCTGCGGGGGGCCCAGCAGCTTATAACCTTCATCACACTGAAAATGCACTTTGTCTCCACAGGCACGTTCCCGGCCCAGAACCACCCCAAATTTCAACACAGGGAGCGGGCAGGCGCAGGGCCGACACTGTGGCACGGCACCCAGCCAGAGGCCATCAGCTGAGCATCGCAGCATTGGATCTCCAACCACCTCGTAACCATCAAAGCAGACGTACTCAACGACATCGTCGTAATTAAAGCTTGAGCCGTTGAGGTAGCCGTGGCTGATGTCCTCTGGTGGATCACAAGTGATGATGTCACAGCGAGGTGTAGGTTTGTCCCAAAGTCCGTCTGACTGACAGACACGGGTGGAGTCTCCGTTCAGTACGTATCCTTCATCACAGTGGTACTTTAACTCACTGTTGAAGCCAAACTCTGATCCCTGCACTCGTCCGTTGGGTATTAGGGCAGGTTTTTCACATCGAGCTGGGACGCAGGAGGGAGAGTCCTGGCTCCAGGTGCCGTCAGCCTGGCATAAACTGATCGATTTCCCCTGTAAATGAAAACCAGGCTGACAGGCCAGCTCTACTTTATTATTATATGTGTACTCATCTCCTCTAAAAGTCACATCCCTGGGGACTTTGGGCCGACCACAAGAGACTGGCTCACAAAAAGGTTTTTCTCTGTTCCATTTTCCATCAGCTTGACATTTAATAGTGCTGCTTCCCCTGAGGACAAACCCTGGACGACACTCGTAATGCAGAACCTCAGGATACACAAAGGCTCCTCCAGGAGTGGTGCTGTTTGTGACAGGTCCGGGGTCTCCACAGGAGATGGGCCGACAAACAGGGGCATCGTTAGTCCACATTCGTCCCGACACACACTGCCTCACCGACTCACCCTTCAGCTCATACCCGGCCTCACAGGTGTATGTGACCATACTCCCCAGAGTGGTGTCGGTCACATTGATCCAGCCATGCTCTAGACTGGGTGGTGTTTCACACTCTGCAGGAACACAGTGGGGGGCTGTTCCATTCCAACCTCCATCTTCCTGACACACCAACTGTGTAGGGTGTGTCAGGTCATAACCTTTGTGACATCGGTATTCAATCAGTGTCCCATGAAGGAAGCTTAAGTCAGGGTTGAGATCAGTGTCCTTAGTGGTGTCCTCCACCCTAACATAGTCTCCAAAGTCAATGTGAGGAGGCAGGCCGCAGTCTGAAAGAACACACACAGGAACAGGACTGGACCAGCCAGATTCCTCACAAGTCAGGTGTTCCTGACCTACGAGCTGGAATCCAGGAAAGCAGCTGTAGAAAATAGTGACACCAAAGCTGTGATCCTGACCCTCAACGAAACCGTTCTCAATGGGCTGAGGTGCTGTGCAAGACATCTGGACACAAGTGGGTGGTTCAGAGTCCCAGTCACCACTGGCAAGGCACTCTAGAGTCTCTGGTCCATGGAGGTGGTAACCTCTCCTGCAGGAGTAAGTGGCATGGTGACCAAACTGGAGTTTTGTGTAAACTACCTTTCCACTTGGTATCTGTTTGGGGATGGAGCATTCAATTGGCCGGCAAGAAGGGACTCCACCAATCCAGAGTCCCTTTTCTCCACAGAGGACAGTAGCATTTCCAACTAAATTATATCCACTCCTGCAGCTGTACTGTGCTCTACTGAGGTACATCAGACCCTGGACATCAACAATACCATTAGAAATCTCCAGAGGCTGTGGGCACTCCACAGGAATGCACTCTGGGTGTGGAGCACTCCACTGCCCACTGGCCAGACAGGACACAGAGGCCTCATGTCTTAAAGAGAAACCATCCATACATGTGTAGTTCACCACTGAGCCAAAGGGGAATGGAGGAGCAGAAGAAGAAGCTCCACCAAAAGACACTTCAGGGAGTGAACCACAGAACACCTGCTTACACACTGGGAAGGTGTCGTTCCACTCCTGGGACGGCATGCAGCGGAGGATATGAGCACCTTCCAGGACGTAGCCGTCCTCACAGGACAACTCCACTGTTCTGGACTCAGAGTCCTGGCCCTTTAAAACAAGGTGATTCTCCTCTAGTGGCGGTTCTGGACACTGCACTGGGGAGCAGCGTGGGAGCCTGGTCTTATCCCACCGTCCGGACTTCAGACAGGTCCAGATCCTGTCACCGACCAGCTTGTAGCCCTCATTGCAAATATATTCCACCTTCTGGCCCACCTGGAAGTCCGAGCCTCTGTAGTGTCCATGGGCGATGCTGGGAGGAGGGTCACAGGTCAGAAGAATGCAGGTTGGTGGGTCGTTGTTTGACCACTGACGGTTGGCTTGGCAGATCCGATCTGGACGGCCGACCAGTCTGTAGCCTGGATTACAGGTGTAGATCACTTTGCTGTTGAAGGTGACCTGTCGAACGTTTATCTGCAGGAAACAAACACAGGGTTTAAATAAAACACAATCTATGAACAGAACATATAAAAGATTGTTCATGTGTGTGTGAGTGTGTGACCAACCTGTCCATTCTTAAGTTGAGGAGGTGTAGAGCAGGACACAGGTGCACAGATAGGGAGCACACCTCCCCACTCTCCATTGGCCTTGCAGGTCCTCCTCTTCTCTCCTCGAATCATGAAGCCAGCATAGCAGCTGTACGCCACCACGGCTCCAAAGCTGTAGTTGGTCCCACTGATGTAGCCTCTGTCGATGCTCTGAGGCTTGGAGCACCTCACTGGCACACAGCCAACGTCGTACGGTGACGGCTCCCACTCTCCTCCCATCATGCACCTCAGGGTGGCTGTGGTGTTGAGCGTAAAGCCCTCTTCACATTTATAGCTCACCTCAGAGTTCGTGGCATATTTAGGTTTGTTGACAGAGTCCAAGATTGCATGGGGAAGCTCTGGAGGTCGTACGCAGAAGTTGGCGATGCAGCGCGGTACCTCCATGTTGTCAGGTGGAGCCCAGACACCCTCAGCATTGCACACCAACATCGAATTGTTGCTGGACGTGTATCCGTCGGTGCAGAAGTAGTTGGCAGTGTCTCCAAACAGCTGGTGGCCCTCGTGGGGTTGGGCATGGTCAATGGCAGGAGCGGGGCCACAGGAGCGGGCGAGGCACTGGGCAGAGGTTTCACTCCATTCACCATTTTGTAAACATTCCCTGGTTTCTGGACCAATCAGAGTGTAGCTGCACATGAAGGAGGTTAAAACAGAACAACAAACATGTGAGGCTGAGATACTGACTCTGATAAAAACTATTGTATTTCATACACATTCATGCCGGGGGTGTGTAGTGTCCACATTTACCCTTCTTTGCAGACATAGTGCACCTTGTTGCCCAGCTCATAATTTTCTCCTACAATCACAGCGTTTTGCAGAGCCGGAGGTTCAGCACACAGGACGTTTACACAGCGGGACAAGGGTCTGCTCCACTCTCCTGTCACCTCACACACCACTTCCATGGAGCCCTGTGGTCTAAGGTAACATGAGTTACTTTCCACACTTGCTGCCCTGGTGCAGGAGAACAAGTGAACAGGGGTGAAGAACAAATGAATCATACCTGTATCCCTCAGAGCAGGTGTACCTGACCGTGGACTGGTAGGTGTTGGTGCCCATATGGTAGACAGCATTCTCAATAGTTGGAGGACTCCCACAGGTCAGTGGTTGACATATAGGTGGCGTCCCACTCCACCTCTGATTCTTCAGACACTTAAACTCATATGGGATTTGAGGCAAGAAGCCATCCGTACAGCTGAGGCAGAACAAACGCACACTTAGATCCAGAAGTTGAACGGAATCTTTTCATCATCTACACTTGCTGGTGGATGCAAATGATACCTGAAAATCACCTTGCTTCCATAGGTGAAGTTGTCACCCTTCATGATGGAGTTTTCTGGAACGATTGGTGTTGGGCAGGAGAGGGCTACAGTGAGAAAAAACAAGATTAGTCCAGAATGACTCACCATCAAACAGTTGATTGATTTCATTTTTAACCTGAGAAAAGGGTAGGTAGAAATCCTGTGGGTGGACATGTCCAAAATACGCTTTTACCTTCTAATGTAAGGATTACATTAAGATGTTGCTGGAAACGTTTGAAAGTTTTTAACCTGCAGCTACCTCCTTATTTTCAGTTATCTTATCTTGTCTTGACTCTCCATAACATCCACTTTTAAAGAAAACACAGTCAGCTGTAAGAACGTGGCTTAAAGCCAATCAGATTATAAAGTGGTCAGACCTGTCAGTCCACAATCACACCAGTTTCATGCGTTCAGTCTACTATTTGATATCGTGCACTACACACGCAGGCATTCCATTGTCTGGCTTATATATTTAATGAATGTGTGTGACAGGTTTAGTCTTTGTGAAAGACCTACCTAATGCCATGAAAGAAAATGTACTGGGTGTGGCAGAAAGTACCGTGTCACACAGATAGGGGGCAGTGATGTGCGGTACGATTCATGACTGACAGTGCTGAGCCCCATAGGCATAATCCTAACTATATGTTTATTATAGTGCTCAGGCATTTTGCTTGTGTCTTTGTTGTCTGCTGACGGTCCAAGATGGCGGTTGTTTTTCTTGCACCCAAGCTGCCAATGTGATGTCTGCTCATTATAATCGTTGAAACTTTGTCTGTCCACATGGATGATACCTTTTCAAGACGCCAACATTTTTCCAAACTGGATTTCCAGTTTAAACTAGACGTCTCCCAAACTGAATGATCTACTCCAGAGTGGAAGAAAGGTAACATTTCAAACAGGTAGGTTCAAACATAATGACTGTCTGTGTGCTTGTCCTGGGAGAGCCTGCCGTTCACAGCATTTGGACCAGGGCGGTTTTGACAGGATTAAAAAATATTTGTACATCCAACACCAGAGGAGTCAGTCACTGTTTCACACATATGTGCATTCAGTTGTCTGTATAGTAATACTGTGTAGGTGGTGTTTGTTTTGTGGGCAAGAACGGCTCCAAAGTGTAGATATTTGAATGGAATTTGAATGTTTTACCAACTAGTTTTCACTAGAAAATGAAAACACAATCTGTTTATGCGCATTGTAAAATTATAGAAAGCGAATTGTGACCCCTGCTGGTTCTTTGTATTAACACAACATTGTGTTTAGATAACTGCAGCAGTTAAAAAAGCACCATATGTCAAAAATGTGTAAAGAAAATCTGCCTTTTTACTATATGGTTGACTGAACTGGTTAATCCACTGCTGCCTCTAGTTAGGTTAAAACAAGGTGCCTAAACAGCCTAGTGACTTTGTGTTAACAATCCATTATTCAGATTTATTTCAGTGACAAAAACCTGTGAAATTAAGGAGCACAAACAAGCAGCGTCACCGTTGGCAAAAACAGTTGTTGTTTTCTGTATAGACTCACGAACAAGGACCAAAGACTCCAACTGTCCAACTTTTTGATTATTGCAGCATGTGGCCACCAACAACCTCTCACCTCTGCAGTATGGGAGCTGATCATCCCAGTTTCCTGTTTCCAGACAGTGGAGTCGAGATGACCCGACCAGCTCGTAGCCGTCATCGCAGCTGAACAATACCTCACCGCCCACCAGGAAGTTTCCTCCACTCCTTCGACCAAACTCCGGAGACCCAGGGTTTTCACACCTCACTGGATCTGTTGGAAACACACAGACACACTTTTGAAATCCAAACCCTTGTTGTTTTTCACAATGGTGTTGAAAAATTCTGGCTCTTTCGATTTTCTCACCTGTGCAATTTTTGCCGTCCCCAGTGTATGGGGGAATACAGGAGCAGGTGTAAGAACCTTCTGTGTTCTGACAGCTGGCGTGGTCGTCACAGTCAGACCCGAGAGCACACTCATCCACATCTGAGCACATACACACACACACACACACACACACACACGTGTCACAGAGACTTATATACCTTTAATTTCCATTTTTAATCACATCATGACCTACCCAGACAGGATGGTTGGTTTCCTCCCCACTTGCCACTGTTGGTGCAGTGAACCTTGGCATCTCCCAGCAGGTAGAAACCTATGTTACACTGATAGACCACAGAGTTGCCAGCATTGTAACCTGTTCCCTCGATCACACCATTCTCTAGAGGATGAGGACGTCCACAGGAGACCCCTGGAACACAGAGCAGCGTCACGGTTTTTCAACGCTGGTCACAGACATAATTATTCATTTTTCATTCAGGAGTTTAAATAGCCCATTTAATTGACACTAGGAGTGAAAGCTATTTTTATGCCTTGGAAAACGTTATGCTTGAAAAGCAAACCAAACTCTGCTAACTAAAAATGTTTTTTCATATGTTTTAAACATTTACAGCCTTTCTGTGACAACTATTTCAACAGGTAATCTCTACTAAACATTTGGCAATAAAGGTCCAGCTGCAGCCCATACAGCATGGTTAGAAGTTCAAAGACTTGCAGGTCCATTTTATACAAGTATTTTTCTTCTAATCAAATCAAAGTTCAGCTCCTGTGTGTGCCCTACTTTCACAGCTGGGCAGAGGGTGGCTCCACTCTCCTTTGTTCTGGCACTGTAGCAAAGGCTCCCCCACCAGGTAGAAACCGGGATCACAGGACAGCTGGACCTGAGCTCCGGGGCTCACCTCAACGGAGGAGACATGAAGATGAGGAGCTGCGTTCTCAATCTTGGGGCAGTCTGGAATAAGGTAGAGTCACACAATGTCTACAAGTCTTCAAGCTCTTTGTTCTATGACATTCTCTCCATCAACACACGTATGATAATGTACTTGTATATGTTTCTTACCAGCACAAAATATGCTGTTGAGATTCACTTTGACTCGGCCAACCACGCCATTTAGGAAGTCTGGCCAAGCCAGGACATTTCCTCTGTGGGTCACGTGAGACGCTGGACAACTGCTGGCCAAGACCTTGATCTGTGGAGTCAAACATATTTGAGAAAAGTGCTGCTAAGACACACTTCATGAATGGGAATTGTGAACTTGAATTTTTTTTTTTAAATGAACCTGCTGTTGTGTCAGAACACGATCCCAGATGTTGAGTTGACTGATGGATCCCACAAAGGACTCAACAGGGTTGAAGCCCTCGCCCCTTTGGTCTTGGTCCTGACCCAGAACCAGTGCCCCACCACCTATAAAACACAAAGTAAGACCGAACTCAACCTCGTAGCACAGAGAAAACTTTGGTTTCGAACAATTGTATTGTGTTTATAAATCATCATCAGTTTTATCCCAGGAGAAACGACTGAATCCATGAAAGCACTACACCTGGGATGGTGGTGCCCACTGACAGGCCTTTGCCTCCATCTGAGGGCCTCCCGTTGATGTAGATCCTCCAGTCTCCATCCCAGCTCCTCCAAGACACACCGATGTGGTACCAGTGACCCGTGTTCACAGCAGGACAGTCTGTGATCCGCTCTTTTCCATTCACATACAGGACCCAGCTGTTGAGTAGAACGTGGATTAGAAATAAGAAACCAAGGCCCAAATAATCAACATTCTAGCTGTAGTTCTGAATTAAATTGAGTTTTAGAAAACTGAAGAGTAATCTTACTAAATCAAAAGGCAAATAAAGAGATAAAGAGAGATTAAATAAAGAGAAATAAAGAGAGATTATATAATCCTTGTATAATCCTTGATTTTATAATTCTTGTTGCAGTTGCTCACTAATTTATTAATGTCCTTAATTAATTCAGAGGGATTAATAAAGTTCTATCTAATCTTACCTAATCTAATTCACTAACATAACAGTAGGACATAAAATGTGTCTCAACGTCTGCTACATTTCCATCGTTAGCCAATGAAATGCAACCAGACCTATTTACATATCTGTTTATTTTCTTTAACCCCAGGATAAATATGGCTGACCCATTGTAGTCTATGAGTAGAAAGGCGTTGTCGCTGCCCTCCACAGCATAGGAGACAGGTGTGCCGTAGTTGGTGGTGTCTGAAGACTTCATCCAAAAGGTGCAGGTGATCTCCATCAAAGCCGGCATCACAGCGTCCATCATCACGTAGCCGTGGATGCCTGAAACCTCAAAGTCCAGGTTGAAAGCAGACGACATCTCTGAGCAGAAATAAGAAACACAACCAGTGGATTGAATCAGTAACCACATCAACGTGTTTGATTCTGTTTAGACACATTTACACAGGAAACCAAGGCAGTAATGATGGACTGATCGTGGTAACGTTCCCTTCTACAAATGTGGCTTGAATTTCTAGGTTTGAATGTAGTTTTATTCTCTTTGGTTGACTTTAAACACTGGACTTCACGGTGTTGCTGCAGCAACAACATCTACTTCTCACTCCTCTTTAATGGTGATATGCCATCTGTCCTATAGTACCTGTCTCACACCTGGTTCCGTTGAACCCAGGAAGGCAGCGGCAGGTGAAGGAGCTCAGGCCATCCAGGCAGCTGGCTCCATTTACACAAGGGTTGGGAACACACTCATCCACGTCCACCTCACACACACGACCTCTGTAGCCCTCCACACACTGACACCTGCAGACACAGATGCAGTGTTAGCACCTGCAGGTCTATGAACAGCACACAGGGTTCGACTTCCTCATTACCTCACTGCTGTACTAGTTCACTGCTGTGTTCAGTGTGGTTTCTTACCTAAAGTTATTGACCGCATCCAGGCACGAGCCTCCATTCATACAGGGGGCGCTGTAGCACTCGTCAATGTCCACCTCACAGTTCTCTCCAGAGAATCCAGCAGCACAGTTACAGATGTAACCACCTGTCTGATCCTCACAAACGCCACCATTGATACAAGGGTTGGAAAGACATTCATTTATCTCCAGTTCACATCGAGATCCTGTTTAAGAAAGATGGTGTCAGAAACGTACACATGATGAAACAACAACGTGTATATTGTTCAACAGCGATCAAACCTGTGAAGCCTCCCACACAACTGCAGGCAAACTTGTTGACCTCGTCCACACAAACCCCTTCATTCAGACAGGGGGAGGAAGAACACTCATTCACCTCAGCTTCACAGAGTTCACCTGGAACAAAGGCAGGTAGAATCGGTTTAAATGTGGAGGTACTGTAATATTTCTAGCCTGTGGTAAAACACAACTACTGATGCATTTACTGTCCTAGTAACAAGGAATTTTAGCACATCAGGCTTAACTAACCAATCGAGGGTAAATCTGGCTTTGACTGATAGATAGTAAGGCATCATCCACCAATCCCATGTCCTCCTGCACTGATATGGTTCATTTCTACAGCATCTAATGCACTGATATGGTTCATTTCTACAGCATGTACTTTTATCCACATTACTGACGTGCCTGAGAGAAATACAGTTGCTGTATTTCTCTACGTGAACTAGTACAATAGTCATGTACAATGTCTGAGAAATCATTAAATTTAGTGACAGAGTCACAATGGGTTGTCTGTCATTACTGAGTGATGTCACAATGTGTGTGTGCTTCTTTTGTCCATTTTACATATATTGTTACTTTTATATTCCTTGCCCTTGTAAATATCTCCTTTACTTTATTATATTATTGTCATTTTGCACTGTGCCATATTTTCTGTATGTTTGGGACATTTGACAAAGTTGACTTTGACTTGACTTTCAAACTGGATACAGGGTCACCTGACCTCAAACCTTCTGTTTCCATACCTAAAAATCCCATCTTGCACTGACACTGGAAGTTTCCCATCCCGTCTCTGCACAGGCCTCCGTTCTGACAGGGAGCAGAGTCACACTCGTCTATGTCAACCTCACACTTGGCACCTGAGAGAGAAGAGCAACAGAGACTTCATGAAGTACTTGTCACATACAATACCTCCGTGACAAAGACTGTGTCATTACAGTGAGAGGCCACAGGGCAGTCAACAGGGTGTCCAGAAGAGCACGTGGAGCACAGAAGCATGAACAAATTCTAAAAATGCAGATTCATTCATAGACTCATGTTAAAGTGTCGTGACATGTTCACCTGTGAACCCAGGCATACAAGTGCAGATGTATCCAGCTCCAACCTCCTCACATGTTCCCTTGTTCTGACAAGGATTCAGGAAACACTCGTGGAAAACCTGATGTCAAAAGATCATAGTTCTTAACAAGATGAAACATAAAAAAACACATCATAACAAATGTAAAATAATTTGTATAAACACAACGTCATCATGAATGGCAGGTTTGTGTGATGTCATCCTTAGGTGTCATTTTCACAGTTTTGTCCTAATATCATTATTAATGGGCACTTAAATGTGCATTTATTTTGAGAATCATGGATAAACAGTTGACTAGTGTGTCTGTGTACGTGACTGACAGGTTTTCAAACGTGTGTTTTCATGTACAGTATTTGTATCTGAGCTCTTTTTATTTGAATCCTTTGAAATTAAGTTCATTTAAAACGTTGAACGTTGAATGAGAAAGAGAAATACAAAAAATGCATAAACTACATACCCAAACACACAGAGTGAAAACCTGGGAATGTGGCAAAAAATGAGTATGAGACACAAAAATGACCAGAAATGTATTTGATGTAGATAAAATGGTTGAGTCTGAAACTGATATCAAAATAAAATGCTAGAAATATCTGTGTAAAATTCATTTTCCTAAAAAAACCCAATTTTTTCTTAAATAAAGAGAAACTGTGCCTTTGTATTAATGGTACAGTGTGGGTTTTTTTTCTTGTGTTAAAGTTAAAGCACAGTTGGTCATCAAGTTGGAAATCCATATATATCTATATATATGTGTGTGTGTGTGTGTGTGTGTGCATGCGTGTGTATGCTTTGTAAGTCTATTTTTCCTACATGATGAACTCACCTGACTGCTCGCCTCATACTCCTCTCTGACCTTCATCTCTGGAGCTGCAGTCACACTCTCCTCCTTTGGAAGGAAACTGGAGCTGAAGCCTGACAATGACACCCACAGTGTAAGAAAAGACATGTTTTTTCCCCTTTCCTACTGGAATCCAGCTCGGGGAAAAAAAGGTCCGAGTGAAAACTCTCTCCCCTGACCACTGATCATTCCTCATTCCTGTATGATTTAGTTTTCCCCTCATATCCAGTCCTTAATTCCATTCTTTTCCACTCAGTCTGACTTCACCGTACTGTAAGTGCAGTGGTGAGCAAGACGAGAAGGAGGTCTGTGCTCATGCACCTTCATCAGTGCTACTTTAGGACTGCTCTCCTTATGTTTGTTAAAGTAACAATCTGTTGAACAAACTGTTGAAGTGGAGCACTCACTGGAGCAGTGCTGGATGGTGGTCGCTCCAGTCACAGTGGTGGTTCCATAAAAGGGACAGGCCAGGCAGTAAGAGCGGCCATGGTCGGGCTGGTAATAGTCTCTGGGGCAGGGGTAACAGGGCACCAGACCAGTGCGTGAGAAGTGACCTGCTGAGCAGGGAACTTCAAGGGAGAGAAGAGAGGATCAGATCAGAGAGTGGCTGAGTTGAAATAACACTGAAGATGTAGACCGCTGCATTTACCTCCACACTCGGCTTCACCCACAGCTCCCCTGGTGACGGTGGACGTCTCATCAGGACACACCAGACATTCTCTGGCACCGAAGGCCGGCTGAAAGTGTCCCAGCGGACATGACTCACAGATCTCCAGTCCATTCAGAGAATGACTCCCAGGTTTACACTGTCCTGTAGTCCCAGAAAAAAAAAACATTTAAAAAAAGTATTCATACATGTTTTGATGTATTTCCAAATAACACAAAGTACTGTCTGACTCCTAGAATACACAGAAACCCTACCTTTACATTCCCCCACACTCCGAGAGTGTAGGTAGGCTGTGGAGGTTCCTTCAGGGCAGGACTTACACTCCAGCTGACCCTCCTGGTCCTGGTAGGAGCCCAGCCAGCAGCTCTCACACTCATTGTACTCCAGAGAAAAGTAAGTTCCCACTGGACATTGGACTGTGAGAGCACTGATGGTTACAATCTTTGAAGTAATGATAACATTTCTGTCTCTGCATTTGTACTTAATGTCTGGTGCAAACGCTCACCACACATCCTGCCTTTGAGCACTGAGCCAGGCCTGCAGAACAGAGACGCCTTCCTGCTCTCCAGGGATTTAGGATCTGCCACAATCATCTGAGAGGACACGTGGAAACTGGACAGTGGCTGCTTGGCCAGAGTTCGCTTCAGTCGGTTGGTCAGCTGCTCCAGGGTCCGCATCAGCCTCTTCTGATTGGCCACCTCCACTGAATCGTTCCTCGACAGGGGCAGAGGGATGCTTGCTGGGAGAATGGACAAGGTTTAAATGATTGAAAACAGACAAGGTGTATCTCCAGCCTCCTGTTAAAACTCTGACACAGGATTATATATTATTATTTACTTCTGCTGGCTGTCACTTATGAAGTGGTCAGTAAGGGATTACCTGTGATGTTGAAATAGATCTGGATCTTCTGGTCTCTGGTTGGCCCTCTGATTCTTCGGTGCCTCTTAGTGCGATGGTGTGACTTCACACTGCCGTCCTGCTGCCTGTTGGCGAGCTGCCTCGTACCTGTGGCAAAGCCTGAGTCAAAGTAGGCGTAGTCCTGAGAGCCCTGAGGACTCCAGTTGTTCCCCCAACCTCCTGGTGCTGAAAGAAAGGATGAGGGACGTTAGAGAAAAAAAGGACCAGGAGCAGAGGAGATTAAAGTGATTAAAAATGGTTTGCATTGTTTCTTACTGATGGAAAAGCCATTCTCATAGTCATAGTTGTACTCCAGACAGTGACCCTGTGACATCACCTCCAGCTTACAGGTGACTTCATCACCACTGCAGATGTTGGGAAGCTTCAGAGAGCAAAAATAGAGGGGAATTACAACACAACAGCCCGTTGTTTTCCTCACAGTCGCAGTATCAAAGATCAAAACTGTGACACAGTCAAAAACCTAAATGTCTGCCATAGTAGTTTTAACAAATCATTTAAACATGTCAGTTTTCTTCTTTAGTTCTGGGTTTCTCACCATTCCTCCAAGTTTAGTGTTGAACTCTCCCGTGAACTTCTTGACCAGGTCCAGGTCTTCACACCTTGATGCTTTGAACAGCATCTCAAAGGGCTTGAATCCGTTGTTAGCGATTCGGTTCACTGAGAGAAGAGAGACAAAGACAGTAGTTGATACATGCACAATCCCTGCTGTGTATTTGAGGCAACAGAGCCTGCTGCACTCACAGGAACAGTCGGGTCTCTCTGGGGAGTACGGTGGCTCCCAAATGCCGTTGTACGGGCAGAAGTAACTGTGCACGGCGTCCTGAGTGAAGCTGTATCCGTCTTTACAGTGGAGGGTACAGTTAACACCCTCATCTTCTTCAGAGCAAACAAATTCTCCATTCACTGGGACGTAGGGTTGGTCACACGTGGTTCCTGCTCAGAGAGAAACAACAACTCCAAGGTTCTGTCTAATGAATGTATTATTGTACGGTAGAGGTCAAAGGTCAGCTCTGTTCTTTCTCAGCCGTCTACCTTGTACAGTGATGGTGACGTTGCAGACGCGACTGTTCCCTGCAGCATCAGTAGCTGTGTACTGGACAACAGTCTCTCCTACTGGAAACAGAGATCCTGGAGAATGGCTACTGGCCACCGTGAGGCGTCCACCTGAAGAGAGACACAAATCACAAGGGTCCAAAGAGCTCACTTAATCTTTCTTTTTAATTTACCATCAGTGTGTGTGCAATTTGAAAAAAATGTTTTACACTGTACAAAAATTCATTGTTTTCAAATATTCCTTTTCATATTCACGTCCAGTTTTTGCCATTTGAAAAAGAGTCAAAGAGTTGACCTACAGAGGGCGATCTTGGCCTTTCTCCAGTGTCCTGGACCATATGAGTCACCTCTCCACTGAGGCTGTGTTGAAGTCTGATACCAAGACATATGAATAGTGAGTCTGGGCATCACATGGCACCAGAACCATCCACCTCTAGGGACCGGGGAGGAAAAATTGCTACAGTCTGCTTGGCCTCAAAAGAACAGCTGAACGTGCGTAGCCTGATGGATGGTGCTTAGGAGAAGCAGCGGTGATGAGAAGCCCTGACCATTTCATCACATACAGGTTGTGGACAAAGAGCTGTGCAAACATCTGCACCAAGTGTGTTGGACACAGACTGGAGTTTAGACAAAATGAAAGAATGAGGGGAAAATAAGTGACTGACCTTTGACTGAAATCAACCAGTATTCAGGTCATTCCAGCAGGGCTGACACACGTCTGGTCTACTGAGTCTGGTGTCTCCATATATATGTGTGTGTGTGTGTGTGTGTTTAAACATGTGTTTATGTGTGTTCATCGAGTCGCGTCTATATATAGCTCTGGCATCAGGGCGTGGGCTTGGAAAAACAAAACACTGACGTTGAAGCTGCGCTGGGTTGACGTCGTGTGGCCCAAAGCAGCTGTAGCAGCCTGTTATTACAGAGTGTGTGTGTGTGTGTGTGTGTGTCTGTGAGTAAATGTATGTGTGATGGGTGTGTACCTCTGGAGACAGGTATCAAGGAACAATCTCTGTAGGCCTGTGTTTGTGTGTAAGGCCCCTGTTCACCTAAATACACAAACACACACAAACACTATTTCAGTGTGTGTGTGTGTGTGTGTGTGTGTGTGTGTGTGTGGAGCTACAGCCAAAGAATTACACAGTCCTGGACCTCTGGAGAAGTCTGCTTTGCTGTCTGTCACCACCAAGGCTGTTTGGCTCCAGCTCCAGAAGAACGTGCTCTGATATTTAGGCAGCATGGTGGAGATGTCTGACCCGCTCGACATGTGAGAGCAGCATGGCGGCCGCAGCAAAGAAACTGGACCAGTGCTGGAAACCTTCTCCTCAGCATAGAACAAACAAGAGGAACCTCAGTTGTCAAAGAGACACTGGGGAAATGAGCTTGATCTTCTAAATGAATTGTTTCACTCTCTAACCCATGACCAGGGAAGTTCTCTAAAACCTGACACACCTCAACGCTAACATTTGGGTTCTAAAGCTAATTGTCCGATAAAATATCTTTAGCTAATGTTATTGGTGAACAGGAGTCCTCAAAGGACACAGCAACGTCTCATGAACATGTGTGTTTGTACAGTTATGAAAACTGTGACCACAGTGAGTGAGAATTCCCATTGAAGGTTTTCTTCATTACTCCACCAACCACTTCATCTGTTCACACTGTCTGTATCTGTTGACAACAGACAAACAAATGAGGCCACGTGCACACAATCAATCATCCATGCTCAGTGTCCGTCAGCACACACACACACACACTCCTCTGATCCCCCTTTTTTTCCCCATTTACTCAATGGAAACTCATCAGTGGAAGAGGAGGGGAACGGTGGTGGTGGGGGGGAGTGGAACAGTAGAGTAAACCATCTACCGTCTGAGGACGGCAACCAGACATACCTGAGTTGTCGGAAAACTGCGGCACCTCCCACTTGACCGCTGTCTCAACGTCTGTGGCTTGGACTGTGGGTGGGGACCTGCACCTGTCAATCACTGGGGGCTCCGTATCTAGAAGAAGATGATGATGATGAAAGATTTTAAACTGGCCCATGAACACAAGAGGAAAGAAAAAGAATTCAAAAAGCACATCTGTGAACATTATATACAGTATATATGTACATATACATATATACTGTATATATGTATATATACTGTATATATGTATATATACAGTACATATATGGACGGCATGTATATATGTATAGAGGTAAAATACAACAGCATAAAAGACAGACAGTCTGGATCAGTTTGTCACACAGTGGTGTCTTAGTAAAGCACAGTGTCCTACCAACATAATAACATATGGACATAATCCAGGCTACCATGCTAGTACCCCCCCCCCCCCACTCCCCCCTCACACACATACACACACACATGAATGTGTGTATGAAATTCTTAATGGCTGGCTGAAATCTGTGGAAGCCAAAAGGAGAAGCGTGTTCTGGATTTAGTGCTGGAGTTATAGTTCAGTCACTCGTGGAGGAACTCCAGTCCCTTAACTTAACTAGTACTGACACTACAGAACTAACCCACTACAGAAAAGATGAACCAGAGACCAGAGACCACCATGTACCAGTGGGACCAGTTCTGAACTCACCAATAACTGTGACTGTAAAGGAGCAGTTGGCCTGGTTTCCAGAACGGTCGGTCGCAAAGTAGGTAACTGTCTCCATTCCAATGGGTAACAACTGTGGAGGAACATATACTGGCTTCACTTGCACTGCAACCTGGAGGAGAAACACGGAAGTACATTTACCTTTAAAAAAGAAGGTACTTTGGGGATCTGAATTGCCAAGCTATCTTCTTGGCTAACATTTAGCCACTGTTGCCAACTTTTATTTAATTTATCTACTGTATATATATTTAATTTATATTTGTATGTCCAACCTCCTCTTTTGAGTTGTCAGTGGCGTTAGGGACGTTCCAGCTGATGACTGCGGTTCCACGCCGCTCATCTGTTTCTGCGACAATGTCAGCAGGACACTGGATCTGTGGTCGTTCAACATCTGAGGAGGTGAAAACAGAAACACTTTAAAGCAACAAATACTACGAGATATTACAGATTAGATATTACATAAGAGGGTGTCAAGTAGCAAAGTATACACACAAAATCCTTTGTATTTAGGATATTTAAGAAGTATAAATCAAGAACAAATAAATAGCAGGAACAACCTCATGCCAATGACTGATTCATGAAGTTGTTTTCCACCAGCACAACCCTGGCTGCAGGAGAATGAATATTTAATCCCTCAGAAACAAAATGCTGGATTCTCTCATTTACTCTCACAATTCTTTGTTTATTTTGGTAGGAAAAAATCCCTCTCAAATGACAGCATTCTGTAGCATAGTCAGGGAAACAATGTTTAGCTGTTGGCGACTGACTAACGACCACGACCCTCGGATGAAACAATTCCCTCCATGTCTCATTCTGCGTGCAGCATGTTGTAATGAAGTGAAGCCAGAACCTGTTCAGTTCAACCCAGTTCAGGCCTGCAGCAAACAGCGCAGCCTCCAAGAGCTGCTCAATTCCTCCTCTCCCCTCTGCCCCCATCCACAGTGGTCATGCCTGTTGTGTTGTGTAAGAGAACTCACTTCCATCTGGACCTGATGACCCACCTACTCAGGCATCCATCCCCTCTGAAGACTAACACACATAAAACCTGCTATCTAAGAAGCTTTTACAGTTCCCTTTCAGATATGACGCTAACTTTAAGTCATGGTTAATATCTAAAAACATGAACACTTGTTACAGATGACTCTTTCTCTCCTGTCACTTGTCTGTCCTGTACTTCTATCTCTCCCCAACTACAACAGTTCCTTCATTAGTTAACTATCTTTAGGATGGACAGGAAGGGGAGACATCAGACCTGGGATGGTCTGAGTTAAGAACGTCTTCATGGAACAGGTTGAACACCGTTATAACCATTCCCAAAGTACAGCAAAATGCAAAGAAGGTGGGATGAAGGTGGAGGGTGGGGTGAGGAGTAGGAGTATCCATCACAGTTTCCTGCTGCTTTATTTGTAAATTGTCTTCTCTGTCTCCACACAAAGCTCTTTCTCTTTTTCCTTCTGGCAAGTTCATCGAGTCGGTCAGAGTTACCACGAGTAATGGAATATTAACTGGTTCCTTTAAGCAGACACCTAGAACTTTATTGCCCCAACATGTCAGAACTATTTGAAAACTATGCCTGGCAAAACTTTTAGGTGACATTCCACTGGCCTGGTCTTCAGTAGAGAATAGTTTGGCCTTTTTGATGCAGCCTTCTCAAACAGCGGCTCCTCTGAGGCTGGGTATTAGAGGAGAGACATCATTGACACACAGGCCAGCAGGTGTTGAATGAACACTCAAACACTCAACCCACTGAGCCACAGCCACCTTGTTTTCTACTGAATATTTACACCATGACCAGCTCAATCATGTGACCACTGACTGTGGACCAGCTGACATCTGTCCCCCTGCAGACACAGACCTGTGCACACAGCTTTGTGGACGTTGGCCGTCCAGTTCCCAGAGCCCATGCACACAGCCTTCCTGTTTCCCTGGAGGACGTAACCTTGCCGGCAGTTGAGCAGACAGACGGAGCCCATTGACACCTGCCTCCTTCCACAGACAGGGGGCGACAGCAGTATGTTCTTCTGAGCCGTGATGGGTGGACAACGCACCTCTGGGCCAAAGTGGGAGAGACCAAAGAAATGATTTGTTAGTTTGCTTTAGTTTAATTTGAACTGATCTAAAGCTATTCCCTTTATGTTTAGGATATTTTTATTCATCAAATAAAAATGTCCTGAAAGTGAGGTTCACACATCCACAGCTTCACTGAGCTAAAGTTTATCAGCATACTTTCTGATAGCATTCTAAAAGCTACGTAATCATTCTGGACCTGATCTGGACCTGTTGCCTCATGGATAGTTTCATCAGATCAGAGTTCTGCATATTGCTCATCATCATATGTTGACAGACTCTACTCTTGATCAGTTCAACTTTATGATTTTATTGTGTCTTTAGTCCTGCTTCTATGGCTGCAGGTGAAGGGAAGTTTTCATCAGATTAAAAATATATATCTTTACATCAGGGCAGTCAAAGCCATCGTGTTTCTCTGCTGTGCAAACAAACAGTGAAACCAACAGCACTGCTGAAGCAGCAGCATCCCACAGAGATGTTAGAGATACAGAACAGTCAGTAGGTCTGAAATGGTCAAAGGAATCATCTGCAGCACTGGGCCAGAGAGATGGCAGTAGCTGATAAACTCAATCAGTGGTATGTTTTAAATAGCGCTGGTGAGTGAGTGAGTCAGAGTCGGTCGGAGGTTTGTGGTGAGCACACTCTCACACTGCCCCTTTCTTTTGTGCCTGATCTGGTTACTCTCTCTGTGTGTGTGCCACCATTTTAACTTTAACTACCAGTTTCAGGGCAGTGAGGCTAATCCTGCGTGCATGTGTACGTATATGCGGTGGTGACGAGTGTAGCTTGGCTGTGAGAAAGCAGATGTATCTGTTGCTGTGATGATGTCGTGCAGTTTTGAGAAAATACATACCACATGTTTAAACTACTGCTGCACATGTTTGACTCTTTAGCTAATGTTACTGGTGAACAGAAAAGGCATGTTTAAAAAAAAACAAACAGATTGCCTTCGATCAAACAACCAGAGACTGGGCCACCCCGACGCTGTGTCTGGGCCTCACATGGCTCAGGTGCCACTATTTGAGCCACATTTGTGCACATGATCCAAACTGGAGTCTAAAATGAAGTTACAGGTAACAGCATTATATTAAAATTTATTCAAAAGGGAAAAATGTGGAATCTTTATTCAGATTATTTATTATTAAATAGCCACCAAAAATTGAAGGAAAACAAGTTAAAATTTAACAAAGAATAAATAAATAAATAAGCCACAGTTGATTTAATGATTTTAAGATTTCCAAAAATAACTTCTGTCCTGGGGCAAATTTTTTCAAATAATTGAAACTGGAACGATACAGACGAAAGCTCTGTCCTCCACCTCCAGCATTATTCATTTACATGTGGTGCATTAGTAACAGTCACACTAATGAATTATTCAGTCTTTTCCTACACCAACTGGTGTTTGTTCTGACGAATGTCATCAGTCATCAACCTGACGGATCATGGAAAACAGAGAACTCAAATTTGACAAAACAGATGATGACAGAAAAGAGTCTGCATGAGGACAAATCAGAGACGGAGTGGAAACACACTGTGGTGGAGACAAAGAATAAAGGAATAGTGATCAGACGAGGGGGGAGGGGGGGCAGTGTATGTTGAAGATGATTGGAAAACGAAGGAATTTTTATTTCAACAAAAATAGAAGTGAACAAACCCAGACGTATTTCTATTTCAACCAAATCAAAAGTTATGCAAACTTTTTTTTATTCAATGAATCAATGAATTATACATTTATATGTGTCGGGGGCAGCTGGGCTTCAGCTCGCTTGCCTTAGGGGTCGAGAACAGATCTGACAGCAACTTTGTGAACTATCTTAACAATAGTTAACGTCGCCAAAGACTAGGTATCAGGGAAGATGAACTCACACTATCAATGGAATCTGGGCTAAGGTGCTTCGGTGCAGTACAGAGGTCCAGGTGTGAGTGCACCCTTAGAGCGGGAGTGGCTTCATTAACATGAGCATACGGTAGATGATAAAGATGGATGAAGTGAAGACGTACTTCCAGGGTAGGATAGTGATTCTGGTCATAAAAGGCTTACCCACACACCGAGGTAGGGGTCCACTCCACTGGGAGTTGGCTTGACAGGTGAGTCTGGATTCTCCCTCCAGCCGATAGCCTCTCTCACAGCCAACCTGACACTCTGCTTTGAACGAAACACCACCGTCACTGCACCGCAGGAAACCATGCTGTGGTCGGGACAGCGGCGGACAGGACCGTACTATAAGTGAAAAGAAAAGTCATTTTTTAAAAAAGGACCAAATGTGAATCTGTGCTACATTCTTTGGACAATTGTCAAAAATGGTTAATAACACATTCTGCTGCCAACACTCATCCATCAATCTGAATCTCATTTGACTAATAGCGATGACTGGTATGTAAAAACCAGCTGCAGCAGAGGCTGAAATTCACACCCTTCATTAGTGAGTTCCAAACAAGCATCGTTGGTGGAAAAGATCTGCCATCAGTCTTTAAATAGGATTGTTTTCAGCTGCTCTTTGCTGGAGGGATTTTTGTCTAACTTGTGCTTAAAAATTTCCACTGATGTTTTATTGGACTCCTATCAGGGGATAGACTTCTCCAGGTCAGACTTTTCACTTTTCCTCCTTCTTTGTGTTTATAGGATCATTGTCAGACTGAGGGGAAATTCCTCTGCTGGCTCCTCCGGAACTCTGACTCATCCTTTCATTGAATATTGGAGAAGACAAACATACATTTATAATGATATCTATAAAAGTCATCTCTCCCCCCACACACTCTCTCTCTCACACAAACACAAACACACCTTTTGCACACAGCGATAATAATAATAATTAATAATAATCAAGTCCCTTATTTGCCCAACAATTGGGAAATTTAGAGTGTAAGTCTTTGCAACCAACACAGGAAGCGCCAACACAGGAGGCGCCATTAAGTAATTGGTTGCAACTAACAGGCTGCCATAGGAGGCGCTATTGGGGATATGCAGGTTTTGGGTCTTGGTCCAGCGAATTTTCTCTCATACTGTGATCAGACGATGAAATATTTGTTTCATTCCCGGGGCCAAATCAGAAGCTGTCACTCCGAGGTCACATACTTGGTGGATTGTGATTATTTTCAGGACGTTTGTTGTCAGTACAGATCTTTATACAGTGGTCTTCTGCTCTCATCTTATATCAAGTTTTTAAACTGTTAATTGGGAATATGGAATATGTAACACTGTGGTGAAATATGTTTATCCATTTTGTGTTCAAATATTACCATCTCATATGTCTTGTATATAAATCACACATGAAAAAGGCTGTAAATCAGCTGCTGAAGTCCTGTCTGTTGTTAACATTATACAGTACAGCAGTAAAAAACCTTCCGTACTGCTCTGAAGTACGCTGACGTATAAGCAGACTTCTGCACACACACACACACACACACACACAGTCACATAATATAAAGATATATACACCACAGGCCACATACAGTAGTATAAATGTCCAAACACACACCCTGGGATATTCAGTGTCTTGGTATTCGTGAGTCAGTCTGATGCTGTTTTTCTGTTCAACTCTTTCAGCTCATTAATCTCTCCACTTCTCCTGCGACTCTTTTTCCTTTCATTCTCTCTTTCCTGTCTGTTTCTGATCTGCCTCACATTTGGGCTCCTGCTGTAGGACCTTCTGTCCTTCCTCTGCTCACTTTTATACTCGCCCTCCCTTTAATTAGAACCTCACTCTTTCTGATGAAACAAGACTAAGAATCTTCACACAGACAGACAGACAGACAGAGACAGACACAGACACACACAGACACAGACACAGACACAGACAGACAGACACAGACAGAGACAGAGACAGAGACAGAGACAGACAGACAGACAGACACAGACACAGACACACACACAGACACAGACAGACACACAGACAGACAGACACAGACAGACAGACACAGACAGACAGACACAGACACAGACAGAGACAGAGACAGAGACAGAGACAGACAGACAGACACAGACACAGACACACACACAGACACAGACAGACACACAGACAGACAGACACAGACAGACAGATAGATAAAGAGGAAAGAATAATATTTGTAATATAATATACATATCAAGTAATAACTAATAGAAAACTTGTGAACAGTAATTTTAAAAAATGCATTCCTGGGCCTGAACCTAAGACAGAGCCGCCTCATGGAGTTCCATTGGCAGGAATCTCCTCACCTCTACAGCTGGGGGGAGTCCCCGACCAGGTTCCATCAGCCTGACACAGTCTGATGTTGGTGCCCTGGAGGTCAAAACCTGGATGACACCTTACACCGCAGGCAGCGTCAAAGTGGTTGTTGCACACATTTTGGATAAAGAAGCCATTTTCTGGAGGAGACAATGGAGGACAGTGGACCACTGGAAGACAGAAAAGGAGACGTGGAGCTTATTTGACTTTTATCTAAGCAGGTCAGACTGGCTGAGAATGAGCTCTGTATTTGTTAGAAAGACTTAACACCCTGTGATTCACTCTACCAAACATGCAGATGTGGAGATGATGCATTCATGGACAACAAATCACCAAACCAAGAACCCAACAGGCGGAATGTGGCATCAACGGGTCTCTACAGATGGAATCAGTTTTCTTCTTCTTATTCTTCTACAAAAAATGTTTTTTTTTTTTGTTAACCTAGATCAGTGGTTCTCAAACTTTTTCTACTCTGTTCCACCTGAGAAAACACTGATCTCTCTGAGTACCACCATGATGACCAACATTAGAATACAGCAGCAGAGGCCTTCACTGTTAGCTTCCTACTTCAAAATCTCACAAGTAGCTACACGTTTTTTCTAAATGTTGTATTCATTGTGCATGGTATGTTTCAGATTTATTTAGTTAAAAATGTAAATGTGAAAATATGAATTGTCCCCGCGTACCACTAGAGAGTGCTCACGTACCACTGGTGGTACGCATACCACAGTTTGATAACCACTGACCTAAAGCCATGGTCATTATTTTGTAACCCATTTTTTCCATGCTAAGGGTGGACCACTTCAATTACTGACTCCAGGAAACTAATGGAACGTTCTTCTGGGTCCACACCGCAGAATAAAGTAGTTCAGTTCAATCAGTAACATTTATGAAATACATTTTATATTTTACTAAACAACATATTTCTACAAAAAAGGAGCAGGTAGTGCAGCCTGTTAGAGTACATGGAAAACCAATGTTCCTACAATTTCAAACCATTAAAAAGAAAAAATCCAGGGCGTCAAACAACACCTCTCCAGCCTCCCATAAAAACATATAGTGTTAGTAATTAGTGAGAACTGCTGTGTCTGGATGAAGTGATGTGGAAACCCCTGGAACAAATTACAGGAGGATTCCTTATCCTGGAGTTTCTTATCCTATACTTTAAAGCAGTACCTGCTAACTGGCTGTTTCTTATTTCCAGGCATTTAACTTCAATAAGAGGCTTCTCTGACAATATTTGTCACTCAGTGACTGCAATTCTCAGAATTGATTTTTTATCTTTAACCTTTCACTTCAACAGTTCAACTGGATTTCTATCCAAAATGTATCTGTCAAGTCAGGTCACAATGATTTACTTGTGACTGGACCAGCGTTTTCAGAGGAAATAAATACTGGCAGATGTGAGGGTCACAACAGTGAAGATAGTGAGAACAAACAACCATAACAAAGAGGACGACTTCATTTGTCTTTATAAATCAGAATCAGATTTACTTTATGATTCACAGAGAAACAGATAAGAAGTACTGATCTGAGTCTCAGTGAAACTAAAATGTATAAACTTGTCTTTAAATTTTCTACCAGGCAGCAAGTATGACAAAGGCACAATTATTTCAGAAAAAAGAAATACAGGCTCCAACAGAAGAGTGGAGGAAGGGTTCGTTCACAGGAGACTTCCTCTTACCTTGGCAGGTCATGCCTATTGGCTGGTAGCCTGGCTTACAGATGCAGTCAGTGAGGGAAGTGCTTCCAGGCTGTGAAGTGTGCTTCGGGTCAGGACATGGTGAACAGGTGCTCAGACCTCCTGGTGTTCCCTCTGGTTTGTAGGTACCAGGTGGACACGCTGGTCGGATGAAAGGCACAAAGACAGTTTTCACTTCCTGTTGTTGCAGTGATGTTTTCCTACCTCAGAGACAGAGCTCCATTCACAGAAGGTCTAAGGAGGATCTGTGTTCAGTTACAGTCTGTATGTAATAACATATGGACCGTGTTAGAAGAGCCTGTCCCATCACCTGCACAGACAGGCTCACACACATACTACAGACTGTGTTTTCTGTTGGCATCATTGGAACTGGATCAGGAGGACATGCAGTAAAGACAAAGAATCACGGGTCACAGAACGGTCCGCCAACATTCCTTCATTCCCCACCTATTAACATCTAAAAACCAGGGGGAGCATCGACGGTGGAGCAGAGGAGTGAAAATGAATGACTGTATGGATCTTATCAGGGTTTAACGCCGACCTTTCACATGGGTTTGGCCTGACACTACGGACGACCTGACTGTTTGCCGACCTTTCACATGGGTTTGGTCTGACACTACGGACGACCTGACTGTTTGTGATCAATGACGTCATCTTCTCATTGTTCTCCGTGATGATCTCCATGGTGTCATTAAATAAAACAAGATTCATAGATCTCTAACATTTATTGGGATGACATTATCCCCAGGTGCAGCAGCCCTTAACACCAATTTTATGGGTAGTTTCACACAAGCAGTATACTGCCCTGACAAATCCCATAATTCTCTCTGTGCTCACTGATGCACTTGAGGAGAGTGACTCTTCATTAGCTGCAGCCCACACTCCAGGCCACGTTCCTGTGTGTTCATGTTGTGGTGCATCTGAGAGACCATTATTGTGCTGTTGTTTTATATTGACAAGTGTGTTTATAGTTCTGGGTCCATTTATCTACATGTGGATCCACTGAAAGTCTATAATACGTTACCAAGATACCAAGAGAGAAAATAATACAACAGAGTGGAAAGTAGAGGAAGGTTATTAAGGAGGAGTGGGTTTATATACAGAGGGTGATGTCCTCTGTTCTGAGTACATTAGAATCATGGTTGAGTCAACATCCCATCCCCACTTGGGCTTTTGTAAACGTTTACTATGATTTACTAAATCATTTCTGTTGTTTTTTGTGCATTATCCCTAAAACAGAGCAGTGAAACACGATCCAGTGTTCTGACACACAGCTGCTGA